AGGATATGGGATTGGTTTGCATTTCCTTTTCCAGCTCATTTTACAGATAAGGAAACCAAGGCAAATAAGGTTAAGTGACTTGCCCAGGGTCACACAGCTAGTAAGTATCTGAGGCCAGATTTGAACTGAGGAAGATGAGTCCTCCAGACTCCAGGACTGTCATTCTATCCACTGCACCACTTAGCTGCCCCAGGGGGAGGTTAGGACTGAGATCTGAGAATCATTTGCATAAAGATCATGATTGGACCCACCAGACAAGAGAATATATAGAGAAAAGAAAAGAGGGCCAAGGATAGATGCTTGGGGGACATCCAGAGCCTCTGCAGGCTTTGCTTCTTAACCTCTGGACTTCCTCACCATGCTGCTGTTTAGGGACCTTCACCCTTCTCCCCCACCCTTGCTTTTTAGCTCCACTTTATGTGTTGTCTTCTCCCACTAGAATGTAAGTTTCTTGACTGTCTTTGTATCCACAGCATTTAGCACAGTGCCTGGCACACAGTAAGCACTTAATAAATGCTTGTGACTGATTGACTGGATGAAGATTGAGCAAAAGAGACTAAGACAGAACAGCCAGAAGGGTAGATGGATAACTAGGAGAAAGCAGTTGTCAGGAAAACCTAGAGAAGAGAGTATATCTGGGAGAAGAGGGTAATTGATAATGTCAGAGGTTTCACAGAGGTCAAGAATGAGAATTGAGAAAAGTTCATTGGTGACTTAGAGAAGACAGTTTCAGTCGAATAAGGCCAGATTTCATCTCTTCTTTCAGGCTTTTTCTCAATTTTTCACTAACCCAAACATCTTACTCTCATTTCTAAGTCTTCTTCCATCCTATATCCTTTCCTAGGTGGCACAGTGGGTGATAGTCTACTAGGCCTGGAGTCAGAGTTAAAATCCAGCCTCAGACACTTGCTATCTATGTAACCTTGGACAAATCATTTGACTGCTACTTGTCTCACTTTCCCCAGCTTTAAAAGGGATCACCATAGCATCTACCTTCCAGGCTTGTGGTGAGGGTCAAATGAGATATTTGTAAAAATTCCTGGCAAACAGCAAGTGCTTAATATATTTGAATTTCTTCTCTCCCTCCCCATACTACCAAGCTCCCCCTTTTCATTCAAGGAATTCTCAAATTCCCACCATAAAGAAGTGCTCCTTGCCTAATTGAAAAACTGCTTAGTGATTTCTTGGTCTTTCCTTGCATAAACATATAAATTTCAAGATCTTCAACTACAGCATCTGCAATTACTTTTTTACTTATACCTAATATTTGTGCTAAAACTTTCTTTGAATAAAAGAACTTGTACACATATTCAGTACTTGTTCTGTTGTTTGTTGTTGTTTGTGAGTCATTTCAGTTGTGCCTGATTCTTTGTGACCCCATTTGGTGTTTTCATGGCAAAGATATTGGAGCGGTTTGTCATTTCCTTCTCCAGCTCATTTTACAGATGAGGAACTGAGACAAACAGGGTTAAGTGATTTTCCCAGGGTCCAGCTAGCAAGTGTCTGAAGCCAAATTTGAACTCAGGAAGATGAGTGTTCCTGACTCTGTCCACTGTGCCACTTAACTGCCCATTCTGTAATATAGAGAGCCCTGTGTCTCATCTTCCATCTTTACAACAAAGTATCCCAAAGGGCACTTTAAGAAATTATCCTAGTGATGTGAATTCAGGTAGGGGTAGGTAAAGAGAATGGGCTGCAGAGAAAGAGAAACACAGAGATGATGTGTGCTTTATAGACACATGTAGATCCACCAGGGAGAGCTCCCTTTCCTCCAGGCAAATACATAGGCAACTGGGATCATCTACAAGAATGTGGACACACACACAGACACAAACAGACACAGACGCACATACACACATTCACACTCTGAACTGGGAAATCACTCATGTGGAGGTAGTTGGTTGGTAGCTGTGGGGAGGGGGGGGGCCGGAGGGCGGAATGTGGGTTGGGCAAAGTTTAGAATTACAGTGCAGCAGAGGCGTTCTCAGCCTATACTTTAAATAGCCAGCACCTTCCCCCTTGGATTCTTCTTCTCCCCCTTAGCTGGACCCCTGGCAACTCCTTCCTTAAGGTCTGTAACATTTCCTTATTTGTTTCTCTCTCTCTCTCTCTCTCTCTCTCTCCCTCTCTCTCTCTCTCTCTCTCTCTCTCTCTCTCTCTCTCTCTCTCTCTCTCTCTCTCTCTCTCTCTCTCTCTCTCTGTCTCTCTGTCTCTCTCTGTTTCTCTCACATTCTGGAGAGTAAGTTCTGGTCTTCAGGTTCTTGAGATCATCCAAAATCAGATTTTTTCTCTTTAAAAAAAAAAGAGGTAGAAAAAATAATTTGTGGGAATGTGTATGAAAACATAGGATGTCTCATTCCTTCCTCTAAATATATTTTCCCCTCAGATATATCACATATACACACATACATATACACACATATGTATATATATGCACACAGTATGCACACATATACATATATATGTATATGTATGCACACATATACGTGTGTGTGTATCTTTTTATGACTGCTTGATTTGGGGACAATGTGATTTGGTAGACAAGAACTCCAAAGTGAGATGAAGGCACCTGAGTTCTTTTATCAAGTGATTAAGGGTTGCCTGATTCCTGGCCCTGAAGTCTTGATCTCTTCTAGAAAATGAAACAATGGCTGGCTCCAGGTAGGAGTGAGAGCTTTGGAAAATCTCTGCAGCAAGTCATCTTTAGAGACCCATGAAGGGGTTGTTTTACTGGAGAGAAGCTAGCAAGTGGTGGGAACAGTGTTTTTTCTGTGCCTGAGAAAAGTCCATCAGGAAGACAGGGAAAGGAAAAAACCAGCCAAGAGAGCTTTCATACACAAGTACTTGAAGAGGACCAAAGGGCTCATTCCTTCCTAATCTCCCCATAATCACCTGAACCCCTTCCTTTTATTCCAAAGCTATATTGACTATCAAGCACGGCTCTTGTCTCTGTCCAGATGAACACTGGTAGCTTCCTTGATCCTAATAGTAGGTCAGTATATTGTAGGGCCAGCAGAGATACGGGAAGGCCTCTGGGGTGTAGAAAAATATGTATTGTCCTTTTTCTCCTGTTCTCTCTGCCTTAGAGGTACTGCTGGGCAGAATTAATAAAATCCTCGGTTGATATTTATAATTAGGGGCCCCCAAGTATATAGCCATAATAGGGCTGGGGCTGGAGAAAAGGACATTTCTGAGTGCTCATCTCTAGGTGCTTTAGGTATAATCAAGAAGCTCTTATACCTTTTTTTTTTTACATGTTCTGGGGGACCCAGTGGTCCCTCTTTGGCAAAGATGTGGTAGAGAAGGAAAATGATACACAATTTTGTACATCTTAGAAACTTTGATAGGTCCTTATTGGCCTTTAGAAATAGGGTCTAGGAATCAACTATCCCTTGAATGCATCTAAAGTGGAGGATCTCAAATTCTTTTCATTCTCCCTCTTATTTCCCAACAATGCTTTTTATTCCTCATCACATTGATCTGTTTCCCTCACCCCATCCCATGGAGGAAAAAAAAAGACTGGCGCTTATATCACTTTTAGTATTGAACTAGATCTTAGCAACTGAGAGACATGAAGAGACCAGTCACCGTACTTATTTATATAAACCTTATTACATCCAGAGGATTGTACTTTTAGGAGCCATGATCTCCTCTAGTTTCTTTCTTGTCACTGGGCAAGGATTAGAGAAACACAAGGTCGGAGCCTTCCAGGTTAATAAGGACAAAACCCTCTATTGATCTAGGCATAAAGTCATGAAATAACAGAATTTCAGAGTTGGAAGAGATCTCAGTAGACATATGTCCCTGAATAAGGATCTCCTCTACCACATACCTGACAAGGAGTCATTCAGCCTCCACTTGAAGACCTTTAGTGAAGGGGAATGCATGATCTACTGAGGCAGCCCCTTCTACTTTTGAACCACTCCAGCGCTTAGGAAGTTTTTTTCCCTGACATTAATTCTAAATCCATCCCTGTACAACTTGAACCCATTGCTCAGAAGCTCTGCCTTCTGGGGCCAAGCAAAACAACTGCAATGACTATAATAATAATGATAATAATAAGCATTTTATAGCACTTTAAACTTTGCAAACTGCTATACAAATTCTATCTCATTTGATCCTCATAATATCCTGTGGGGAAAGGTGCTGTTATTATCCCCATTGTATAGACAAGAAAACTGAGCCTGAGGAGTTAAGTAAATTCCTGAGATGGTATTTGAACTTAGTTCTTCCTGTCATTCTTACCCACTGTGCCACCCATTCACTGCCCACACGACAGCCATTCAAATGTTTGAAGGATGTTATCATACTTTCCTATCCAAGCCTTCTCTTTTCTAAGTTAAACACCTCCCAGTTCTTTCCAACAATTCTTTTATGATATAATCTTTAGGCCTTCCATAGTCCTGTTTACTCAACTCAGGATGCTATTTATCTTATCAATGGCCTTCCTAGAATGTGACTTCCAGAATGGAAAACATCATCAGTGATACCACAACTCTCCCCATTTTACAAGATTTAGCAGGCTAGTTGTATTGAAAGCAGAACCTAAACAACTCTTGTGGTCATGTGATCCTTTCCCCCATCACATGCCCTACATAATCCATGGGAATCTGTGGGGAACTCAGTCTGGGCTTTCGGGTTTAATGAATGCCTTCTAGCAGGAAAAAAGGGTAACCAGTATAGAGAATCTGGGGGTATAGATTGAGTTGGTCTCGGCAACTGGAGCATTTAGGTATTTCTTAGTAGGAGATGCTATGGAAGAATTGACCGCTGAGGCAGAATTCCTTCCTTCCTTCCTTCCTTTCTTCCTTCCTTCCTTCCTTCCCTCCTTCCCTCCTTCCTTCCTTCCTTCCTTCCTTCCTTCCTTCCTTCCTTCCTTCCTTCCTTCCTTCCTTCCTTCCTTCCTTCCTTCCTTCCTTCCTTCCTTCCTTCCTAGGTGGGGTTTCATTTCCAGGGGTTTCCTACCAATAACAAGGCTTCCTATCTCTATTCCAGGTGGGATGGATAGCAGGGTCCCTAGTGCAACCAGCAATGGAAAGACAATACCAACTTATTCAGTTGTGGAAAAGGAGAAAGAGAAGGAAGAAGAGGAAGGCACACTAGAGCGGGATCACTGGAACAACAAAGTGGAATACGTGCTGTCTGTAGCTGGGGAAATCATTGGGCTGGGCAATGTCTGGAGGTTCCCCTATCTCTGCTACAAGAATGGGGGAGGTGAGCACCCACTGGCTCCCATCAGGAGGGGAAACTGTTTCCATCTTCTGTACTCAATGATTCCTCAGGTGTCCTAAAGTATTGAGACTCCTCATACTTTTCCTTGTACCTTTCCCTGATCTACTGAGCCACCTCCAACATTATGACCTTTGGACCTGGGAGTTCTTGCTTCCTAGAGATAGCCACTGCAAATCAGGGAATGGGGAGTATAATCCTAGATTCTATTTCTCTAGAGTATGCATGCTGGTTGGGTGTTTCTCCCTCTCAGAGCTATAACTAGATCAGGGCAATGGGGGCTTTGTCCTTTGATGAATTGTAAAGGGGCTGAAGAACAGCATTCTCAACCCTTCAGAAGCATAGAAGTAACTAATTTTAGCATTTTTTTCTGTCTAGAACAGACTTGTGATTTTATTGTTTTTTATTTTATTAAGGGAATGATTTTATTAAGGGAACTCTTAGTGAGAATAAACCAGGGCTCTGCAATTTAGAAAGCTGCCTGGGGCATTTAGAGGTTAAGTGGCTTGCCTAGGCTCATACAGTCAGTATGTGTCCGAGGTGGACTTGAACATAGGTCTTCTTAATTCTGAGGCTGGCTGCATGTGATGTTGCCTCTCTGCACTTAGCAAAAGTAATTAAAGGGGCCTGAGGAATTGTGGTGTCTTAGGACATCTGTAGTGTCTTGGGGCATTCTCTTCACCTAAATGAGTGTGCATATCACAAAAATTATGGCTCTGCTCTCCCCCCTTTAAAAAAACACAACTTTTAACTGTGTTTTATTGATGCCTTTTGTTATCACATAGCAGTGGTTTCTAGAAAAAACAAAACCTTTCTAGCTTCCCATTTAACAAAGAAAAACAGTTAAGCAAAGACACTTTATATAGTGGATGCATTTGACATTGTATGCAATATTCTGACCCAGGAGCCTCCCACTTATCTGCTGTGAGAAGGGAGGTATATTTCATTGTCTGTTCTCCAGGATCTTCATTTGTTTTTCAGTTACTTAGAGTTTGGCTTCCTTTTGTTGATTTTTTACATTTACGTTATCATAGTTGGGCATGCTATTCTTTTGTTTTTCCATTATGTTCATTTGTTTCACTCTGCATTCATTCGTACAATCTTCCTGGTTCTCTATATTTCTTATGTTCATCATTTCTAATTGCACAATACAATTTGGTAACATTAATATACTACATTTTTTTCAGCTATTCCTGAATCAGTGAGTACCCATTTTCTTTCTAGGTTTAGATTTTTTTTTGGCCTTGCTGTCAATTACATTGTTGCAGTCACTGCTCTTTGATTTCCTTGCTCTTCTTACTTCACTACACATCAACTCAAATATGTCTTCTTGTGCTTCTCTGTGGCCTTCTTATAGTGTAGCAGCACTTCATTTTTATCCATTTTGTACCTTCATTTGTTGGATCTTCATTTCTGTCTCTTATCCCCATGGAGTCAAAAAGCATGTGTAGTTTAGTCATATTTCTTACAGGATTCCAAATTGATATCCAGAATGGTCTGACCTATCCACAGTTCCACTAACAATGCATTAGTGTGCTTGTCTTTCCACGGCCCCACCAACATGGACTGCTCCCAGTTTTTTCTTACCTTTGCAAATGTACAAAGTCTGAAGTGATCCTCAGAGTAGGTTAAAAAAAAATAATCCAATACATTGATTCTAAAAAATTGTAATTTATATATTTTGTTTTCAGATCACCTTCATTTCCTAATGTTTCCTTTCCCCTGTCCTCTACTCAGTGGGTCATAATTTGTAACAAAGAATAAAAGCAAAGTTGGAGGGGGGAAGTAGTTAAGTAATACTAACCAACACATCTACTGAGTTTGACAATGTAAGTAACACTCCACACTCATTGTGTCCTACTTTTTCAAAACAAAGGAGAGAGGTACATTGTTTCCTCTCCTATTTGGGACCAAGTTTGATTATTATAATTGGTTTCTTTTTTTCTTTCTTTCCATTATTGTGTTTATTGTGTATATCGTTTTCCTTGCTACAACTCACTTCATATATTTTCTCATATTCCCTACATTCTTCATGTCCAGTTTCTTATAGCATGGCAATATTTTATTATATTCATGTAATGCATTTGTTTAGCTCTTCCCTAATCAATGAGTATCAACTTTGTTTCCAGGATTTTGCTACTACAAAAAGTAATGCTATAAATATATTGGTGTGTACCTTTCCTTCTATCCTTGACCTCCTTGGGGGTATAGGTCAAGCAGTAGGATCTCTGGGTGAAAAGATAATGGACAGTTTGGTCATGTTTCTTGCAACATTCTTAATTGATAACCAGAGTAGTTAGACTAACTCACAACATCACCAGAACTATGTTAGTGTACCTGTCTTCCCATAGTCCTGACAACATTGACTATTCCCATTTTTTGTTTATCTTTTTCAATGTATAGACTATGATATGAAACCTCAGTGTTGTTTCAATTTGCATTTCTCTTATTATGAGTAATTTGAAGCATATTTTCAAATGGTTATTTAGAGTTTGCAATCCTTATTTACAAAACCGTTCAGATCACTTATCTACTGGGGAAAGGCTTTTGCTGTTATATGTTAGCATTGATTTCTGTATGTACCTTGGAGATTTTTCTTGATGATATCTCAGATATATATCAATATATCATGTAAATATTTATTTACCATTTGTACAATAACTTACATTTTATGTAATCAGAATTATTTGTTTTGTCTTTCATAATTTCTAACCATGGTTTGGTTAAAAATTCTACACTTTCTGGCTCTTATAGAAATCTTATAGATATATTATATTATATTATATTGTATTGTATTGTATTATGCTATATCTTACAGAAACTCTTACAGAAATCCTGAATAATGAAGAGAGGTTTCAGTATAGCTCTTTCTGACTCTTGCTGCTCTCTTTCATGGGGTGCCCTAGCTTAACCCTAAAGGAGATGCATGGATACCTGGGTTGACTATCAGGCTTAATAGACCACACAAATTCACAGGTTACCATGTAGAGGTCAAGTAGGGAAGGGTTCAAAGCAAGGCTTGTGCAATCTACCCGAGTTAGAAGTTTTTGGAGAGGGCATGGATATAGGAGAGGCAGAAGTAATAGATGGAATTCAGTGGGTTATTCCATAGAATACAAGGGCTCAAAGATCCTCTGGTGGTACTCATAGCCTGCCATAGGCAGAGCTGCCAGATCAGGCTAATGAAGTCTGTTATATTTCTCTTTCTTAGTGATTTAGAAGTAGACTATAGCTACAATTAGTGTATTTGACCTGGTGTGTATCCTGGTGTGTACCTCCAAATACTTAGTACTTGAGGTTGTGGAAGATGTATAGAGTAGGTACAATATGGATAAGAGGTATAGGAGGGGGTCAGCCTCTTTGTGGAATTAGGCATTTGTTCCAAGGCCTGTAGTCTGACTGACACTTTTGCAAAAGGATAGATTGAAGCTTTTGGGTCTGGGATCATGGGGGTATTCTAGTTTTTTTTTTTCTCCTCGAGGTCTTCCTCCATGCTGCACCCTGTACCAAGAGGACCATTATGGCTTTGTCAGGAGGAACCTGGCTTAAGTACCTCAGCTGCTGAAATTGTACTGGGAGTCTGGAGGATTTAATTGGAGCTCAGGAACCTTTGAGATTGAATAACCCGCTTAGCCCCTCACATTGGCACAAAGAGGATTAGGAGGTGAAGCTGATTTCCTCAAGCCTCTTTGGAATTGGGTGATCTTTGGCCTAGGAATTGACAGGAATGGGGTGAGAAAAGGGAAGGAAAGTACAGAATGAACCCATTTGCCTTGGAATATTTGGGTCCAAGTTAGAATTCCCTGTGGATCATGGGGCAGAAACATGGAGACAACCTTTGGGAAAGTAGGATTTGGGAATAGAGAATATTACTGAGATTCTGGGCCTCTGGGCAACTGGTCTTTGACTCTGTATTTAGAAATTCCTTACTGAAGTCCCTCAGTCCCAAACTAAAAAGGTTGGTCTGATGGGCTGATCAGAAATAGACCCCTTGTCAAGATTTACTCTAAAAACTTTGATTCATGGGACCATAGGTGAGCAAGGAGAGTGGCTTCCTCATCTGGGGGCATGGATTGCTGATCTTAGAGAGCCTGGACCAGCCTACTTGTTTGTCTGTTTTTATCCCCCAGCCAACTGATTCCCTGCCCAACTCCAGGTATATCCAACTTCCCCTGGAAGCCTGCTGCCTGATAGAGTGATATCTCACTGTGGGAAGTATACAGAACCATTCTTCATTCTAAGGTCACCCTGGTCTACCCAGAAAGAGGGATGCCTCCATATAAGAAAACTTTGTGTTATATGATTGGGAGGCAATGGAGTGAGTGAACTTTCTTGATTATCTATTTTGTTTCCTATAAATCTTTTTGGGTCTTCCAGGGTCACTGCAGAATAATTCTAACTGTATCCTATGTGAAAGGGCTATGTCTACTTTGATTCTCTTTCCCTGCCTTCCCAGACTTAAAGATATGCTGCTACATGAAGGAAAAAAGATGAGCTATAGACTTAAAAAACAAGTTTTTCTTGGCAGTGAGTTGGTAAATATTTGGGTGGGGGAGTTCTCAGGGGATTGGAAAACTTCAGGAACCGCTATTCGAATGCTACACTAAAAAAACCCAAACCCCCAAACCCAAGACTCTCTGTGCGTGTATTACCATGGGTCTATATATCAGTATTTCAGTTTTCCTGTGTATTTTTTAGTTTGCTCAAGTCACTGTCCCTTTCTGTGTTCCTGTGTTCCTCCCTAGATCCCCACCCTGATGAAATGGTTACTGATGACTGGTATTGACTGCTAAGCTTCTTGCCTGTTAAACCACATAGGACAAAATTATCTGTATACAGAACCTTTTGGTTTTATGTGCGTAGTTGAAGGTAGACAGGGTGGTCACAGGAGACAAAATTTATCTTTGTACTTCATTTCTTCCCTTGGTAGTACCATCTTCCCTCTTTCCTCTTCCTCCTCAACTCCCACCCCCAAGAAGGTAAAAGAATAAGACCCAAATGATCTTAGTCCTTGAAATCCTTCTCAAGGGGAAAGGAGAATCCTGAAGAAGAATGATTGATTAGGTTGGAAATAATGGTAGCTCATGCTTAGAAAGTTTACAGAGTTCTGCTTTCTTTACAACAATCCTATGAGGTATAGGTAGCGCTAATATTTTTATATCCATTTGACAGATTAGGAAATTGAAACACATTGGTATTGTGTCTAGCCTGGGGTCACCCAGCAATTAAATGTCAGGGATGGCATTCCAACCCTGGTCCACAAACTCCAAGTTCAGTGCTTTTTTTATACTCCCTGAAAATGACTCTCTTTGACAGAAAGTGGGTTTATATTGAAAGTGTTTTCTCAGGTCTAATTTCATTTAGGGGATTGGGACTTCTGGGGTGAGGGCTTTGAGATCAGAGCAAAGCCTCAGGAGTCATGGCCTCTAGCCAGCTCACAGTTGGAGGGACATGTGACTGGGGAATAGGGTACCTGACCTAGAAAACTAGGTGAAGTGGTTTTGCAGTTGAGTCTATCCCATAGTCCACCCTCCCTGTCCCTATCTTTAACGTGCTGATAGACACAGACAGACAGACACAGACAGACAGACACAGACAGACAGACAGACAGACAGATAGTAAATGTGTTTCTACAATAGGGATGGGATTTCCAGGGGACTTGAGAATTCTGAGAAAGTCATGGAAACTTGTCTATGTGGCCTTATTGTTTTGCTCTCATTCATTTTCTTTGGATTACCCCTAAGAGAATTATAGAATTTAAGAGCTGGATAGGACACTGGCAACCTTATCTCTCAAAAGGAGTATTTCCCTTAGTAAAGAGAGTCAGTGGTGGGACTCTTTTCTTACATGATGGTGGTGGTGGTGGTGGTGGTGGTGGTGTATGTATGTGTGTGCATATCTCCTACCACCTAGGGAAGATTGCCTAACGTTTTAGGGTAAGGGGAGGGATGTTTGACATAGTGAGTAATGTGTATTTTAGAGATGAGGTGTCTGTGGGAACCCTACTTCTATCCCTGAGTCAACTCTACTTCCTGATGGAAATTATCTTGGTGACATTTCCCTGCACTGTTTCAAAGGCAGGGTACCTCAAGAGAAAGGAGGATAGGTGCTCCTTCACCTGCTGTACTCTATTCTAGCTTTGTCATCCCTTCCTCTATCCTTGCCTTGCTCTACTCAGCAGGTTTAGACTTTGGCCTTTCCAGCACGCTGTTGGGCAGCTCTTTCAAGAGGCTGAGGAGGAGGGAAGCAGCTCGGGGCTGTAAGGTTAAATATTGTCCTGACTTCTTGGGCAAGAGTCTGGAGTGGAGAAGATGGGGAGGGGGAGGGACTGGGACTAGGCCAGTGATTCTCTCCCTATGTTGTACTGCTTGAGAGCCCTGGATGATATGGTCAGTCTTACCCCTGCTAGGCTGACTGGCATTATTGGGTGTTTGTTTTCTCCTTCTCTACTCCTTCCCCTCAACCCAGCTTTGATTGATTTGTGGACACATCGCACTTAATTGGAAGCACTTTTTGTTTCTTGGTCTCTGGAAGAAGAGTGTCGGGGGTTCTCTCTCCTAGAGTCTGCATTAGGGATGTAGCGTAGGAGTTAGAGATTTAGGGTAAGAAATAAAAACTATAGAACCTTGTTTTTTGGGACGTTGACACTTTGTGCTTACTGGTCTTACAGAACACGCGCTCTTTGGCCAAATTCCTCTTGTTCCCTACTAGTAGGCTGAACCTGTAATTTCATAGGTATAGGGAAATTCCAGGTGAGGAAGCCCCCTTGACCAATGCAGGTCTGAGTCTTCTTGACATTTTATAATAGTCAATAGCACTTTGTGCCAGGTGCTAGAAATGAAAAGAAAGGCAAAAAAATGTTCCTGTTCTCAGGGAACTTACAATCTAATGAGGGAGACAACATGCAAATAGCAAATATACAAGCAAGATAGATGTAGTATCAGTTGGAGACAACCCATAGAGGGAAGGCACTGGCATTGAAAGAGATCAGGAAAAGTTTCTTACAGATGGTGGGATTTTAACTGAGACTTGCCAGAAACCAGGGAAGCCACGAGGCGGAGAGAAGGAAGGGCATCCCAGATATGTTTGACAATAAATGAAAATGCTGGGAGTCAGGAGATGGAGGGATTAGTTCAATGGACAGAAGAAGGCCAATGTTACTGGATCTAAGAGTACATAGTGGTGGTGGTAGTGGGGTGGATTTAAGGAGTAAAAAGATCAGAAAGATAGGAAGGGGTCAGGTTATGGAGGGTTTTGGGGCACTAGGTTAAATGACTTGCTCAGGGTAACACTCTATGTGTCAGAGGTGGAACTTCAAACCATCTCTTTCTGATTTTGAGGCCAGTTCTCTTATCAATATATCAAATTACTTCTTAATAGTGTATGGACTAGATTCTAGTGAGGGATGGGGACCTACCTTTCTTCTGTGGTCACATTCCCTGGGGTGGTAGCAGCAGAAAGACTGAAGGAAAGTGATTTCTTGGGAAAACTTTTGTCTGCTGGTAAGATACCAGAAGCATAGTCTTCTTATTTTTATTGTACCAGTTCTCTGTTCCTGCTTCCAAACCACCCCCTCCCCCATTCCCATGCCAGCGGGTGGAAAAATAACTATGTTTCTAGTCTCAGGATATTTGTCACATCCGATGCTCATGAAAAGAATGGTGAAAAGAGGATTGGGATTCCAGCCACTGAAGGTAGCAGCAACCCTTGAAAGGGGTTACAAATTGTAGGTTGTGCTAAATTTACCCTAGCTTTCAATTATTTGATGCCTTGGTTTAAGTAAGGGTTAGTACTTGTTGGGGGAAAAAAACCTTGGTAGGGGTAAACTGACTTGCAAAAAGCCAGAGGATTGAAAGGGGAGTAGCTGCCTTGTTCTCTCCCATGATGTCAATTCCCTGTGTTAGAACTATGTGCAAACTAGCTCCTATTCACACCGAGGGATGATTGTGTTCTACCTGTCTTGGGTTGAAGGTAGGTAGTTGGGGATGGTGTGGGGGCTGTGGGAGGAAAAGTTGCCATGGAAAATGGTTGCAAGGTCCACAGACCATAAATGGGAGTTCAGAACAGCATGGTCTAGGGTGATGGGAGAGGGTGATGAAGAGATTGGAGACAGTGCAAAGTATAAGATACATGTTTCCCCCAACTCATCCCCTACAGGTGCCTTTTTCATACCCTACCTCATCTTCCTCTTCACCTGTGGCATTCCTGTTTTCCTCCTGGAGACAGCACTGGGTCAGTATACCAGCCAGGGGGGGTGTCACAGCCTGGAGAAAGATCTGCCCCATCTTTGAGGGTAAGTACCTAGAGTCCAGCTCCAGGGTATGAGCATTGGTGGTTGTAAAGCTGGTCTGGGAAAATGGGGATGATTAGAAAGAATGTCAAGGTCAAGAAGGGGTGAATATTTCCAGTTGGAACTCAGCCAGTTGATTTTGTAAATGGGACTGACTTTGCTTGACAGGGGGGCAAGGATGTAGACATTAAGAACAAAGGAGTAGGGATAATGGAGTAAGGGATACAGGGACTGTGCCATTTACTTTCTGTTTACATACAAGTCATGTACAAACATGTATGGACTTATTTCCTGGGTGTATAATATGATGCTGCTACTTGCAAATGCCAACAATAACTGTGAATTGGTGGACAAGGCAATATCTTAGGGGCAAGAGCAGCTGGACAGATATGCTGAGGGAAAAACAATGAAGAAAAGTCATGCTTATGAACAAAAGGAACAAGGGAACTGATTTTTGGAGGTTGGGACGGGAATGGAAAGGATCAGTAGCTCGGGTAGTAATAGGACCTTAGCACTAGGAAGCAAAACTTTCTTCAATGTAGGGTTTGGGAGGAGGATGGATACTTATATGCTCTTGATGCTCGTTGTGAGGGGAAGTGGAAAGACCATTGACTATGCATGTGGAGAAGGTAGATTTGACGTCTCCCTTGGCTACCTGCTACTTTAGGCAAGTCACTTGGGGGTGGGCGAATTGGACGCTAGTTTCATTTTGGGTCTATTCCTCTGTCCTCTCTGTGCTCTGCTCCTCAGGCATTGGTTATGCATCCCAGGTGATTGTCATCCTCCTTAACTTCTACTACATCATTGTTCTGGCCTGGGCCTTCTTCTACCTCTTCAGCTCCTTTACCATCGACCTTCCCTGGGGCAGCTGTGACCACGAGTGGAACACAGGTAACGCCATCTCTCCTATACAAGCTACCTCTTATCCTCTCTTCTCTCTCCCTAAGAGCTGCCCCTAGCAAATCCCATTCACATTCACTTGGGCAGGGACTGGACTGAGCCATATGATTGACTGATGGAACTCGGGATTCTTAGTTTGGTGATAAAAGAGTGAAGGGGTGGGATGGGTTAATGTTGATGGAAGGGTGGAGAACCAGACAGCTATGTTCAAGCGTTTGGAGGGTTGTTGTGTGTGAAGGGGATCAGATTTGTTTTGTCTAACCCCTGGGAGTCACAAAGAGGAGGATTTTGGCTTAAAATAAGGGGAAAAAATTCCCAGCAATTAGAGCTATAACTAAGTGAAATGGGCTGCCACTGGAAGTAAAGTGTTTTCTATCACTAGAGCTATTTAAGCAAAGGAAGGATGACCACTTGTCATTTATGTTGGGAGGAGGGACTTTTAAATATTTATTCATATTTATAAGCATTTATTATCTCTCCCTCTCGTTGCCTTCCCCCACTGAACAATTAGAAAAAATAATACCCTCATAATAAGCATGCAGTCCATCGAAACAAATTTTTAAATTGGCCATGTCTAAAAATGTATGCCTCATTCTGCATTTTAAGTCAATCACTTCTCTGGCAGGAGGTGAATGGTATGTTTCATCCTTGCATTGATCAGAGTTCTAAAATCTTCCAAAGTTGTTTTTCTATATAATTATACATAGTATATATGTCATAGTATAAATTGTTCTACTCTTTCTGCTTATTTTACTCTGTATCAGTTCAGGGAGGTCTTCCTGATTTCCTTTGAAACAGTCCATTTTGTCATTTCTTATGGGCACAGTAATATTCCATTACATTCATGTACCACAGTTTGTTCAGTCATTCCCCATTAGGTGGGTATCTTGTAGGGCAGCTTCTTATATGGATTGGATGAGATAACCTATTAATTCCTGTCCAACTCTAAGATTCTGTTCCCAAAAGGGATCCAGCCACTGATGTTAGATAAAAGATAGACAAAAGTTACCAGCTGTATATGACACTGTACCTAGTGCTGGGCAGGTAGTTTCAGGGAGACAGGAGAGAATACTGGGAAAAAAGCATTTAACTAAGAGTCTGAGATTCAGGATTCTAGCCTTTGTCTCCTAAAGGAGCCAGGGTGATACAGTGGAGAGAACATTGGCTGTGGAGTCAGAGAATCTGGTTCAAATCCTACCTCTGATCTTTACAACCCAGGTGGCCTTGGTTTCCCCAAAATGAGGAGGTTAGATTAGGTGGCCTCTAAAGTGCCTTCCAATCCTGTGGTCTATGACCTAGCTACAAAGACTGTAAGCAAGTCCCTTCATTTCCTTGGGCCTCAGTTTCTTCATTCCTAAAAGCAAACCCCAAAACAAAACCCCCAAACAAATAAATAAACAAAAAACTCTAGGGATGATATATGCCCTGTCTACCTCACAGGGTTGTCATGGTGATTAAATGAGCTAACGAAAGTAAGAGCCCTTTGTAAATTGTAAAGTGCTATATATAAATAAATAGTTATTGCTATTTGTGCTCCCTGGGGATTTATTATCCAGTGTAATAGTCTTAACTTTGTGCTCTGAGAAGAAAACCCCAAGTAACTCCAGAAAATCTATATGGTGAATCATTGAGAAGTGAATGAGTAGTCAAATTTTGGGATATCCATCCATTTATTTGTTTGTATGTGAAATACAGTTTGTTTGATTTTTTTGTTTTGTTTTGTTTCATCCTAAAATTATGGGAGGGCAGCTAGGTGGCACTGTGGATAGAGTGCAGGACCTAGAGTCAGGAAGACCTGAGTTCAAATGTGGCCTCAAACACTTACTGGCTGTGTGACCCTGAGCAAGTCATTTAACCTTATTTGCCTCAATTTCCTCATCTGTAAAATGAGCTGGAGAAGGAAATAGCAAACCACTCCAGTATCTTTGCTAACGGGGGTCACGGAGAGTCTGACACAACCAGAATGACCCAACAACAACAACAACAGCAACAACAAAAATATTATGGTTGTCTCCAAGTGTCAGTGTTCATATTTCATGGACTCATAGAATGAGGGAGGGACCTCAGAGAACACTTAGGATCACAGGCTCTAGAGCTGCAAAGAACATTAGAGATCATCCGCTAATTTGAAACCAACTCTTTGTGAGACTGGTGCCAGAGATCAGCTTCCTAACTGAGGTCCCAGAGAGGAAGTAGCTCACCCAAGGTTACACAGGTAGCCGGTTATACAGAGGAGAAGTGAACTTGGGTTGTCTTCTTTTATTCTGCCTTTCTTTCCCCATCTTCCTCTTGTGTTAATTAATAACAGCTAGCATTTATCTGGCTCTTTAGTACGCAAAGCATTTTACAAATATGATCTCATTTGATCCTCACGACGATCTTGGGAGGTGGGTGCTATTATTATCCCCATTTTACAGATGAAGAAACTGAGGTGTATAGTGGAGAAATGGATTAGCCTAGGGTTGGTCATACAGCTAGTAAGTGTCTGAGGCTGGATTTGAACTTAGATGATAATAACAATAATAGACTTACCCAAGGTCACATGGCTAGTAAGTGTCTAAGACTGGATTTTTAACTCAGATCTTCCTGACTCTAGGTCCAGCACTCTATCCACTGTGCCACCTAATTGCCTCAAGTATTCCATATTTTTCTGCCTCCTTAAAAAAAAGTATAATTAACATCACTTAACATTTTCTTTATAACTCAGGCTCTTCATTATGAATATCAATTCTTATACTATGCTATATATCTTTGGGGGCCATTGAAATGTTTGTCATCATATGAACTGGACCCAAACTACAATATATTTTAAAATTTTGTTTCTGATTTTTATTTATTTCTCTTCCCTTGCTATCATCTTTTCTGGTTGCTTTCAGTGTTTCTGCTTCCAACAGTCCTTCTTCCATATTATTTACTTGTTCTAAGCTGCTGTGGTGTGGGAAACCAAATAGTCAAGCTTGTTAGAATTGTGTCTTAAGTAGGAGTAAGTAGGCTATGAAATGAAAACCTGAGGAGTACTTTGAGTTAAGGGCAGGAACATTTTTATTTCTCTTCTGGTTGTTCAGATGTTCCTTTTAGTTACTGTGCTATTTTCAGTCTTGTTCTAGAGAGTTAAAATTGCTGGATAAGTAAGGCATTACTCTTTATAATCAAAACATCAATATGATTAATAATGGCTATTTCCAGAGTATCACAGAATCTCAGACCTAGAAGGAACCTTAATAGACATTTCACTCAGTTTATACCTGAACAAGAATCTCCTCTATAACATTATTTTTTTTAATTTAAGAAACTTTAAGAAAAAAAATTGAGAATTTTTTAAATTAAGAAAAAAAATTAAGAAAATTTAATGTAAGCTCCTTCTGTGGATCATAGAAGAGACAGCAGAGACCTTGCTATTTATAAAGCAATTGCTTTTGAAAACAAAACTTAAGAAGCTTTCCTAGGGCATTCTCAGGCAATACCAGCTTCCTGAAGGTCTCTACATAGATCATGAAACTTTCATAGCCCCAATATTGTCTCCATCCAGGCCTAATACATAGCTAGCCCCAGATTTCCATACCAGAGAGACTAGCAGAATGCAGAGCTCATGGATGAGACTGGACATGCAAAATTACATTCAAGTTTGAGTTCCCAGTGCTATGTCTTTGATTTCCTCTTTTATCTCCAAGATGTCAAATTACTCCCACTTATCAAAAGGCAAATTAAAAAGTACCCATGGGCTCATGACAGCATGCTTATTGCCTCTTCTTGGGAGGGAAACAATTAGAATAAAATAATACAAAAGTATTAGAGACTTTGTAGACCCATAGGGATGACATCTCCAAGTTCATTATCTCCTCCTAGAAGTTAGAAATGGAAGTAGTATCAGGTGATTGTGTTTCACAAATCCCCTTTAAAATTGATTCCATACCCACTTACTGGGTACAATATTTCATACTGATGCCCAAAGTACTCTAAGTCATGGGATAGTCAAGGTTACTTCTTCAGGCCTCATGGTTGCACCATCTTCAAATGTGGTCGTCTTCACTGTGATACTGAGCCAGTATCAGTTACATTGGATAGACATTCCTTCTTCATGAGTGCAAGCTAGGAAGGCTAAAAATTATAGAACTCCAGATCCTGCTTTCACTGAAGCAGGTTCCAGAGCAAAGATACTGGCCTCAGTAAAAACACAGGAAGTGTTCTTCTCTCCAAACATTCTGAGAAGTGGTCATCTGACCTTTGCCTGAAGACCTGTAGGGAGAGGAAACCAACTATCTACTAGGGCAGCTTGAACCATTTTTGGACAGCTCCAGCTGTCAGGAGACTTTTCCTTACATCAATCTAAATTGGAATCTCTGTGACTTCTGTCCATTACCCCTAGTTCTTCCCTCTGAGGCCAAACAGAATAAAGAACATGATATGGAAGCCAAAAAAAGTATGAGACCTTAGGGTACCCTGAAGTAGGAACAAAATCCAAAATATGGGAGGTAGTAGTCTCACTACGCTCTGATCAGACTAGTCAGATTGCATCTAAATATTGTATTCAGTTCTAGTTGCCAAATTGTATCCAGAGGAAGGTGCTGGGGGATTACAGATTGTGTCATATGAATATTAGCTTGATGCTAATAATTATGATGCTAATAAGATCTGACATTTATGTAGCATTTTAAAGTTTGCAAAATACCTTAAAAATATTTGATACTAACAACACTCTAGGAGGTAGGTATTACTACCATCCTATATGAGAATCAAAAGGATGTAGGATTGTTTAGCAGTGTTCAAGTATTTGAGGGGCTGTCGTGTAGAAAGGGGCTTTAACTTATTCAATTTGACCTCAGAGAACAGAACTGGGAAGAATGGGTCAAAGTTGCAAAGAGACAGATTTTGGTTGAATCACAGGAAAAACCTCCTTACCATTAGAATTATTATTATCTTTTTGGAGGCAATTGGGGTTAAGTGTCTTGCCCAGGGCCCCATGACTAGTAAGTGTCTGAGACTGAATTTGAACTCAGACTGGATATGATCTCCTGACTCCAGGGTTGGTGCTCTATTTGTTGTGCCACCTAGCTGCTTCTAGAATTATTTTAAAAAATGAAGGATTAGTGGAGTCAAACAAAGACTGAATGGTCACTTGTTGGGGACATTGGAGAGGGAAGTTCTATTCAAGTCCATGTTGGATTGGGGAGCATCCTCTGAGGTCCTTTGCAACTTAAAATTCTGTGATTCTATGACTTGCTCTAGGTCCCACAGCTATTAAGTGGCAGAGCTATTTGAATTCAGATTTCCTGATTCCAAGTCTTTCTCTTCCTCTTGTAAATCTAACAAGCAAAGCATAATGTCAACAAAGTCTATACTAGACCTCTTATAATAAGCAAAGATGGATGAACACTTATTAAGCATGGTATAATAGAAATTCCTTTCAGATACAGGAGTAGATGGTTACTGAAGTCCATTCTAACTCTAAGATAATGTGATTCAGTAATGTATTTTTCAAATTCTTGGCTCATCAAGAAGCTAACAGACTAGTAAAGAATAAATAGCTCTTTATGGTTACGAAGCACTTCACTCAAAGTATTCTCTTTGATCCTTACAATACACTTGTTTTGTCCTTTGACTTGTGGATGGAAGCAGAAATGGAATGTCGTTCAGCTCTTTGTCTCTGAGGATCTTGGTTGCGTGTGGCTTTCCTCAGGGAGCTTGGTCTATGACCTTGAAGCTGAGAGTCAGTCCAATGCATTTAACCTGATCTTAGAATCCCAGATTTTGAAGCATGATCAGACTAAGACCTGTCCTTAGCACAGAACCTGATATCATTGCCTAGACCTCCCTCAGCTTCAGCTGTTCAGCAATGATGAAATCAGTGAGACTGTTAATTAAATCTTGGTCATATCTATGATTCTCCTTCCACTCCCAACCCTGATGTATTTAGAAGGAATCAAATAGAGTTTATGATTTTGTGGTGATGTTTAACTCCCTAAAGCCAGCAAACAATGCCATTTCTCTTCAATTTTCCAATCGTGAGTAGTTCAACAATTTCTATCTATACGGCTGCCAACATAGGCATTGACTCATCCATGACAGCTATTTCATGAGATGGCAGTAACTGCTTTGTGGCAGTCACACTATAAGCCCACCACCTGGCACATAGTAGGCACTAAATAAGTACTTATTGATTTTATAGATTTATTGGTGAGTTTATCTGTAGAGTTTCTCACTAGGATGGTTTATGGGACATGTGTCGATGGTAGCAAAGTTCTAGTTCAGGCCTACGTGCTTCTGGGCTGATTGGGGGCCTTTGAGGTAAGTGAAAAGTCTGAGTCCTTTTTACTGACAAAAGGTGACTCTTCCAGAAGACTCCATAGTGGGGAATTCTCTCAGTTTGTCAGGTTCTGCTAAGAACACCAATGTTGGCATCATAGCTAGAGATTTTTCTTTATTAATGGCTATTTCCCTTTGGGAAATTGGCATTCCTAGCACCATGTAACCTCTCATGGTTAAGTGTGAGATTCATACTTTTCTAGGTGCTATTTTATCAGATTGCTCATTGTTCATGAGGCTGTGACCTCATGAGGTGAAATGTTTCGGGTTTGAGGCAAGGAAATGTTTTTCTTAACTCCATCTGAACATTCTCAAGTGAGAAGTCCACCAACATAGGGAAGCAGCTGCCACCTCCATGGCTGCCATGAAACTGTCAATGACGTTGGAGGGTAAGTGGGTTGCATTAGAGATAGCAGTGCATAAGGAAGCAGTGTGGACACAGATTCAGCTTGGAGCTCCTCTACTTATTAGCTCAGTTTCCCCATAGCTGCCTCTTGCCTTCTCTAATTTTCTCATCAATCTTTCTTCTTTGCCTCACACCTGCCTAATGCTTCCTCTTCCTTCCTACATGTTTCTTGAGCAGAGCACTGTATGGAGTTCCAGAGGACCAATGGCTCCTTGAATGTGACAGCTGAGAATGCCACCTCTCCTGTCATTGAGTTTTGGGAGTAAGTGAAACCTTGGCCTTGTTGCAGAGGGATATGGGGAGAAATAGTCACAGTGTCAATTGTTGTTAAGTCATTTCAGTCTTGTCTGACTCTTCATGACCCTTTTTTCGGGTTTTCTTGGCAAAGATACTGGAGCGGTTTGCCATTTCCTTCTTCTACTCATTTTACAAATGAGGAAACTGAGGCAGAGTTAAGTGACTTGCCTAGGGTCACACAGCTAGTCTGAGGCCAGATTTGAACTTACAAAGATGAGTGTTTCTGACTCTCAGCCCAGTACTCTATCCACTGCATTGCCTAGCTACCCCATGGTGTCAATAGGGAAAGAATAATTCCTCTTTAATTCTCTGTTGGTTTGTTCCCATCATGGTTGACATGGGTCACAGGGCTGTGTCCTGTAGTTCAGCATTTCTCAGGCTTTCTTATGATTTGCCAGGAGATATTGCCAGCCCTGTCAACCCCAACCTGGTTTGTTCATTCTCACTCTTAAACACTGCACACACACAAATGTGCACACACACAAATGTACACACACACACACATACACACACAAAATAGGGGAAAGAAGTGTTGGATTTAGAATCAGAAGACCTGAGCTCAAGGCCCAGTTCTTCCACTTAATGGCCATGTAACCTTGGGCAGGTCATTTCCCTTCTAGGCTTCCATTCCCTCATCTATAAATGAAGGAGTTAAATTAGTCCAAGTTCCATCCCATTTCTTAGACTAATTCTGTGACTCATGAACACGAACACATACAAAATGGGTCCACACACTTTCTTTCTTTCTCTCTACCTTATGGTTCTGACCAACTCATCTTGGTAAGGGGAAAGAGGAGTGAAAAAGCATCCATTTCATGGACCACACCCAGGTCATGTTTGGCCAGAGCCAGGATGAAGTATGTGTGTAACCTAGGCAAGGTTTGAAAATCACAATCCTACTTGTAATATATGCAACTTGATACCACAAAGTAAATACTGAAATACCACAGAAAGCAGGATTTTCTGGCATAAAAATGTCAATTTAGCAGTTATTCAACCCTTCCTCTCTCATACTAGGCCCTAAGCAGCTGCCTATTTTACTTGCCCCTACTTCCAGCTCTGTGCTTACCATGAGTTAGAATCAGTTTGATTCCTCAACAAGCATTAATCAAACTCCTGCTATGTGCCTGATATTGTCCTAGGCATTGGAGATACACAAAAAAAAACAACAACAGTTTTTGCCTTCAAGGAGCTTATATTCCATCACTGTGGAACAGTGGGAAAAGCACTGGCTTGGGAGGCAGAGAGTTCAGTTCCTATCTCTGAGGCTTATTTTTTGTATGACCTTGGGTGAGTCATTTTATGTCTTTGGGCCTCAGTTTCCTCATCTGTAAAACAAGGGGTTGGACTAGATGGCTTCTGAGGTGCCTCTTAGAAGACAAGAAGTGTGAACATAAGTATATAATAATAAAATAGTTTCAATGCACTAGCAGCTGGAGGGATGAGGAAGAGCCCCACATAAGGCACATGAGCTTTGAAGGAAGCTAGGGATTCTAAGAGTTGGAGGTGAGGAGGGGGTGCTTTCAGAACGTCCTAACACACGGTTGGGGAATAGAGTTTTAGACCCTTCTTCCTAGCTTAGGACCATAACGACCCCCTTCCTCTCTCAGCCCTCCCTCGGACCTTGCCTATGGTGAAGTTTTCATTTGTGCCTCTTGACCTCCTGGTTCCCTGCCTTTCATCTGGGCAAAGGAGACCCCTGTGGATGCCTGGGGGACCACAGCTGGTGACCTGTGTGATGAATCCTTGGGTTAGATAGAGTTCATGTAATTGAGCTGTTGTTCTGAGGATGGGGGCTGCAAAACTTGATGGGTCATCCAAAACCGGAGCCAGGGTCAACTTTTCTCTCCACAGGAGGCGGGTCCTGAAAATCTCTGAAGGGATCCAGCACCTGGGGAGCCTGCGGTGGGAGCTGGCCCTGTGCCTCCTGCTCGCCTGGATTATCTGCTACTTCTGCATTTGGAAAGGAGTCAAGTCCACAGGCAAAGTAGGCGTCTGAGGAGTTCCCATACTCTTCAACTTTAAGATCCACTGTCTTTGTGTTAGAGTAACCAGATGTTCATCAGACTACAGTCTGGAGCAGGGATTCTTATCCTGGGTCCACAAATAGATTTCAAAGCATCTGATTACTTGGATGGAAAAAAAAAATTACATCGTTATATAACTAGTGAATCTCTATATAATTAACTATATAATCTATAGCTTATATAAACTATATAAATGTATCATCTGTGTAATTAGCTATATAATCTAAACAAACTATACTTTAATCTATATAAATATATCATCTATATGATTAACTATATAATCTATGCAAACTATATATAAACTATATAAATATATCATTATATAATTAACTATATAATCTATACAAACTATATATAAACTATATAAATATGTCATCTATATAATTAACTACATAATCTATACAAACTATACTTTAATCTATATAAACTATATAAGTATATTATCTACATGATTAACTACATAATCTATACAAACTATATATAAACTGTATAAATATATCATCTATATAATTAACTGCATAATCTATACAAACTATACTTTAATCTATATAAACTATATAAATATATCATCTACATAATTAATTACATAATCTATACAAACTATACTTTAATCTGCATAAACCATATAAATATATCATCTATATAATTAACTATATGATCTATATAAACTGTACTTTAATCTATATAAACCCTCATATAAATATATAACCTATATAATTAACTAACCTCAGGGGCAGCTAGATGGATAGAGCACCAGCCCTGAAGTCAGAAGGACCTGAGTTCAAATCCAGCCTCAGACCAAACACCTGACACGTAATAGCTGTGTGACCTTAGGCAAGTCACTTAACCCCAATTGCCTAAAAAAAAAATAATAATAATTAACTAACCTCTAACTGAAATTTAGCATTTCCTCCAATTATTTAAAAAACGTTATTCTGAGAAGGGGGTCCATAGGCTTTATCAGACTGCCAAAGTCTATGACTTTGCCATCTCCCTTCCTCCAAGTTCTATGGCTCTTTCCACTCTGTGCTACATACTTTTGGAGGAAGAAAATACGGTCATTGATAATTAGGAGAATTAGAATAAAGTAAAAAAGAATACCCTGCAAAGAAATTCTAACTTGCATACTGCTTGAGAATATACCACATAGGTTGTGTAAGTACAATTTGTACACAGTTTACATACCTCCCCTTTCCTTAATAATAGCCAATTTTAAGGTTTACAAAGCACTTGTTATACATTATCTCAGTTGACTATCACAATAGTTCTAAGACAAGAGGTATTATTATTCCCATCTTATGTATGACAAAATGAGGTTTAGAGAAACTGAGGGCTTACCTAGAATCATAGGGTTGGTGGGGTGGGGAGGGCAAAGATCAAAATTCTATTCCAGGTCCTCTTCACTCCAAGTCTAGCAGATTTTCCACTACCTGAAACATATACCTTGTAAAATCCCCAGTAAAGATCCCTAACCAGTCCCCTGACCAGAATTCTGGGAACTAACTGGAAAATTGAGGGGAACTGTCTGCTCCACAATGAGTGAGGTATCATTAGGTATTTTGAGTCTATTAATCACTTTTTATTTAGGGGACCTGCGTAGGTCTTTTCCCCATCTGAGTGCTTGACTGTCCTAAACCTTTGCTGCAGAGGAAGGGAGATAATGTTAACAGTCCCAGTTACATCAGGATATAGGAATTTGGAAGGTGGCCTTGCTTACAGTCTTATGTCATGTCTTTTCGTACTCCATGTTATCTAGCAAGACAGTGAATTTTAGGAGAAAAAGGATGAATGAATGAAGTTGGAGAGGAGAGTTGTAGAGGAAAGCTGGTGGATGCCTGAGTCCTTTCTAGGAAGGAAGCAAAACGTGGAGGAAAGGTAGCAGGAGAGAGGAGGGAGATTGATCTGAGCAGCTGCGAGGCATGTCGGGAGGGAACAGCTGAAGGGGAACCTCTTTGACCTTTCCCGTGGGGGAAATTTCCTTGCCCCTTCTCTCCAAATGTCCTAGCCTCTCTTTCCTCACTCCTTTGCCTGATACCTACCTGACTGTCTTTTCTTGAAGACCTCCTCATTTTACCCCCTCCAAACTGATGTCTTCCCTTGTTCCAGGTAGTATACTTCACAGCCACGTTTCCATACCTCATGCTGGTGGTCCTGTTAATCCGAGGGGTGACTCTGCCCGGTGCTGCCCAGGGCATTCAGTTCTACCTGTACCCGAATCTCACCCGTCTATGGGATCCCCAGGTAAGGAGCCACAAGGAGGGGAAATCATTCCACTTAAGGCATTCAGGTGCAGGAATCTCCATGGCCATTCTGGGCCATCCAAAGGTTGTCTATCTCTTCTTGGGGATTACCTTCCATTTACTTTCTTGGGTTTTAAGTTGCCTAGGAAGTGGTGTCTGGAATCTTCCCTTTTCTGATTCATAACTGCCACAAAGCCTGGAGTCTTGGATTAACGTTGGTAAATGCCTTGGAAACCATGACTTTGTTCTTTGACAGCTGCTTCCTCTTCCCTCCCCTTATGCCATTCTTCTCTTTTGATTTGACATCTCCCCCTTTTCCCTTTCTCCTCAATTTCCCATTCTCTGGGCTATTTCTTTCTGTCCATTTGACCCATTCCTACATTGTAGGGGCCTTGATCTCCTCATCTTCCCCTTCCTGCTGGGCCCTACTCTCAGTCACTTTCCCCTTAAACTGGCAATTCTTGCTCTTGTGACCCCCAAATTAGAGGCTGCTTTCAGTTCTCTCTGGCACAAGATATGTTATTCTGTAATAAATACCATTCATGCCTGTCTTTTTCCCTGCAGGGTTCAGGGAGGGATGGAAGGAAGGCAGCCTTAGCGGACAAAAGCACCTCCAAAGGAGATTAAAGGGTCCAAGCAGGAGGGGGCTGAGAAAGGGTTAGGTTCAGATCTCTGTGGCCTTCTTATTTAACTGTTTTGTTTTTTTTTTAAATAGATTTTATCTGTTGCTCTGATGTGCCATTGGTGTGTTTATAAAGCAGATGGGCTGTAGGGGGCGTGGTGAGCTGTGTCCAGGTTGCTGTTTTGTCCCCCTTTTCCTGTCTCCTCAGTTTCGTCAGAAAGGCAGAAAAACGCTCGTGCGCCTGATTTACAGCCTCAATGTTTCATGCTTTGAGGCTGACTGACAGCTGGGGGCTATGTCCTTACACTTTGTAACACCTACTGCATCTAGTACAGTGTTACAGTGTTACTCCCATTCACTGAGAGCAATCGCTCAATGAATAACACGGATTAATTTGGTGTTATTGTTGTTTGTCCTCTGTTCTCGAAGAGGACCATGACATCTGGAAGGAGATGTCATGACTTGCAAGTGAATTGGATTTAAGTGAGGGAGGGCTGTCCAAAGTCACCAGCCTCACTCTCTCCTCTCTCTGGGTCTCTTGGCAAGATATAAATCAGGACAATTGGAGATAGCCCTGGACAAAGTGGGGGACTTAGCCCTTTTTTAAGCTAACGTCTTCCCAGGTCTCAGTTTGTCTGAGGCAAAGCCTGTTCAGTGATTAAGGCTAGGTAAAAATGAGGCAAAGAATGGCCTCTTTTACCTAGTAAAACAAAATAAAATCAATCTGGGAGGGGAAGACCCTCTGAGTTTCTGGCCAAAACAGAAACAATTGTTATTTACATTCACTCTGAGCCATCAGAATCTAAACAATGACGAAGCTGAGGCTTGGACTGAGAGCTATTGTTGGCCAATCAGTGAGAGCTAGAGTGATTTGGGTTTAAGGCATAGTCCGTAAAAAAGAAATCTAGCCCATAAACCCCAACTTATCTTGCTAGGTTTCAGCAATCAACATTTATATTCCTTTGGGCAGAGTACCCGGAGGTAAGGGTATGATTCACTATGTGGAAGAGACAGAGGAAGAAGAAGGAAGGAAGGAAGGAAGGAAGGAAAGTGGGTAGGCGCTGAGTTGCCCAACTGGAACCGGCCAGTTGGATCCCCAGTGGGGCAGCTATTACTACTCACAGGTTGTTATTTGTCCTTCCTTCTCAGCGAGGACTATGACGTCAGGAAGCAGATGTCATGACTTGCAAATGAATTGGATTTTAGTGAGGGGCAGCTGTGATTAATTTATTGTTGCAGGAAATCACCTTTATCATTTTTTCTTGCTACCCACATCTAATCACCTTCCAAGCTAGCTGTATGCAGTGCAATTGACATGAACCATCCAAATACTTCAAGAACATCAGAAAGAAGGCTTTTGGGAGTCATTTCAATTTAATTCAAGAAAAGTGCAAACTATGTGCAAGCGTTTATGCTAGGTGCTGGGCATACAAAGAAACAAAACAAAAACCAGAGCCTGCTTTCAAGAAGATGGCACTCTACCTTGAGTAGGAAGAGTAGTGTTTGAGGTGATCAAGAAAGACTTCATTGAGGGCTTGGTACCTGAACTGAGATCTGAAGGAAGCTGAGGGTTCAAAGAGGTGAAAGTGAAGAAGAATACTTTCTTGGAATGCTAGACAGCCTGTGGAAAGGTAGGAAAACAGGAAATGGAATGATAAATTTGGGGAATGACAGTAGGTCCATTTGGTCAAAAGGAGAAATATTAAATAAGTCTAGAAAGGTAGAAGGGAAATTGTGGAAGCCTAAAGTGTCAGGAAATCCTCATGAGGAACCAGTATTTCATTCTAGAAGCAATAGAGAGCCACTGAAATTTTTTTGAGCAAGAGAATGGCATTCTGAAATCCTGTGCTTTAGGAAGACTGGTTTGGCAACCATGAGGAAGATAGATGAGAGAGTGAAGATCATGGCAGTAGGGATACTAATAAAGAGACTATTACTGTCGTATGAGTGAGAAGTAATAAGAGCTTGAACTAGAAGGGTATAATGTGGGTAGAGAGAAGAGAACAAGAAATGCTGGGGTGGTAGAAATGATCATTCTTGCCACCTGATTGGATGAGGGAGATGGTCAAGGATGACTCAAAAGTTGTGAACATAGGTGACTAGAAGGATGGTGGTGTCCTCAACAGAAACAGAAGAAATTGTAGGAAGGACAAATTAAAAGGATAAAATGAGTTATAATCTGGAAATGTTGAGATGGAGATGCTGATGGGTTATCAAAACAGAGATGTCAAACAGGAAGTGGGGAGGGTACTAACTATTTGGGAAGGGGGGAATCAGGAAAGGCCTCTTACAGGAGGCGGTGGCTGAGTTATGCACAGCCCTCCCTCACTCAAATCAAAGTCAACTGCAAGTCATGTCACCATCTCCCTGATGTCATGGTCCTCTTCAAGAATGAAGGACAAACCACAACCTGTGAGTAGTCCAAGCTGCTTGAATGGGGACCCAGCTGGCCAGTTCCAGTTGGGCATCTCCTCTCCTCTCCTCTCCTCCCCTTCCCTCCCCTCCTTTTCCCTCTCCTCTCTTCTCCTGGTAAATTTTGATGACTGAAAGCTACCTAGTTAGCTTGGAGTCTACTGGCTAGATTTCCTTTAAAGACCAAGCCTTAAACCCAATTCACTCTAAATGTCATGGATTGGACAACAATAGGTCCCTGCCCAAGCATCACTTAATGGTTATTTTTTTGGGCCCTACAGGTACAGAGTGAATGTAAATGGTAAAGGTTTCTCTTTTGGTCAGCAACCCTGAGGATCTTCCCCTCCCAGTTTGATTTTTTTTTTTTATTAAAGGGGCCTCCCTTGACTCACTCCTTAAAGAGGCCTATTCACAGAATGGGCATTGCTTCACTCAAAGTAAGAACCTGAAAAGATCTTGGCTTAAAAAGGCCAAGGTCTCCCACTACATCCTGAGCCATCTCCAGTCATCCTGATCCATATCTGGCCACAGGACCCAGATGACTCTGAAGTCCTTGCACAGCCCTCCCTCACTCAAATCAAAGTCAATTGCAAGTTATGTCATCATCTCCTTGACATCATGGTCCTCTTTGTGAACGAAGGACAAACCACACACAGAACCACAACAAGCCTGAGCTGTACTTTGTAGGAAGTAGGAATTCTCCTTGGCAGAAGTGAGGAAGGCAAGCATTCTAGACTTGGGAAGTCAACAGATGCAAAGGCATAAAGGTGGGAGATAGAATGCCATGTTCAGGAGGATAGCAATTAATCCAGTTTGACTAGAATGTAGAATGCATGAAGGACAGTAATGTACAAGACTAGAAAGATAGGTTGGGGACAGATTGTAAAGGTCTTTAAGTGCTAGATCGAGGAGATTATTATATTATCCCAGAGACGGTAGAGATTTTGAGCAGGGAAGTCTTATAGTCAGACCTGTGCTATAGGAATAGCAATTTGGCATTGTGGAGGCTGAACTGGAAAGAGGAGAAACAAGTCAGGGAGACCAATTAGGAGGTTGTTGTAATAGCCCGGAGAAGAGTTGATGAGAACTTGAATTAGAGGCAGCTAGGGGGTGTAATAGGTAGACCTGGATGGACCTACAGGCAAGAAGACCTGAGTTCAAATTTTATCCCAGACACTTACTAGCTGTATGAACCTGGGCAAATTACTTAACCTCTGCCTGCCTAATAGCATCTACCTTCCAGAGTTAGTGTGGGGATAAAATGAGATATTTTGTAAAGTGCTTTGCAAACCTTAAAATGCTATATCAATGCTAACTAATATCCTCCTCCTCCTCCTCCTCCTACTTATCATCATTGTTAGCTAGCTAGGGTTCTGGCTTTGTGACTGTAGAGAAAGGAGTGAATATCAAAAATATTAGAAAAATAGAACCACCAGATCTTAACAACTCTTTGAATGTGTGGAACAAAGAAGGGTGAAGAGTCAAAGATGACTAGTAGATTTCAAACCCGGATGACTGGAAGAATGGTGGTGTCCTTGATAGAAATATGAAATCTAGGAAAAGGGGTAGGTTTTGGTGAGAAGATGATGTGTTCTGTTTGATGATGAGACACATTCAGTTGGAGATACTCATGGGGCAGGCATTTGGTGATGTGGGATCAGAACTCTGGAGAGAGATGATCTGATGAGATCACTGAAAGACTGTAGGCAGAAGAGAAAATGGCCCAGGACAGAGTCTTGGGGGGTTAAACTCACACACAGAGTAATAGGAAGATGATTTAGGAAATGAGAGTGAGAAGGAGGAACCAGATGGGTAGGAAGAGAATCAGGAGAGAGCAATGTCATGAAAAGCCAGGGAGGGATGCTTAGGAGGATGGAGCAGTCAACAGTGACAAAAGCTGAAGAGATCTGAAGAATGATGAGGACTGAAAAGAGGCCACTGCATTTAGCAGGAGAATGCTGGTAACC